CTTGTGGGGATGAGCACTGGGTGTTATGTGGAAACCAACTTGACAATAAACTATTAAAAAAAAAAGAATCACATGATCTTATTGATACTGGAAAATCATTTGACAAAATCCGAACTTATACATGATAAAATCTCTCAGTAAACTTAGATTAGAGGGGGAGCTTCCTCAATTTGATAAAAATGTCTACAAAAATCCTAGGAATAACATTATAATTAATGATGAGAAACTCAAAGCTTTCCTAGAAAGATTAGGTACAAGAATGGCCTTTGTAACCAATCCTTTTCAACAGCATCCTAGAAGTTCTAACTAATGCAGTAATGCAATAAGATAAAAGAGGAAATAAAAGGCATATAGATTGGGAAGGAAGGAAAAAAATTGTCTTCGTTTATGGACGACAGGATCATCTATAGAAGATCCAAAAGAATCGACCAAAATAACTCCTGTAACTAATAATCAATTACAGCAAGGTTGCAGATTACAAGCTGAATATACGAAAGCCAACCACTTTCACATATACCAGCAATGAACAAGGGAAAAACAATACAGGGCGCCTGAGTGGCTCAGTCAGTTAGATGCCTGGCTTCGGCTCAAGTAATGATGTCACAGTTTGTGGGCTCAAGTCCCATCCTGGGCTCGGTGCTGACAACTATGAGCCTGAAGCCTGCTTTGGATTCTGTGTTCTCCTCCCTTTGCCCCTCCATCACTTAATGCTCTTTCTGTCTCTCAAAAATAAAATAAATATTAAAAAAATTTAAAGGGACACCTGTGTGGCTTAGTTGCTTGAGCATCCGACTTCGGCTCAGATCATGATCTCACAGCTCACGAGTTCAAGCCCCACATCGGGCTCTGTAATGACAGCTCGTAGCCTGGAGCCTACTTCGGATTCTGTGTCTCCCTTTCTCTCTGCCCCTTCCCCACTCGTACCTCTGTCTCATTCTCTCTCAGAAATAAATGAAAACTTTTTTTAAAATTTAAAAAAATAGGGGTGCCTGGGTGGCTCAGTCAGTTAAACGTCTAACTTCGGCTCAGGTCATGATCACGTAGTTTGTGGATTTGAGTCCTGCGTCAGGCTCTGTGCTGACAGCTAGCTCAGAGCCTGGAGCCTGCTTCAGATTCTGTGTCTCTCTCTCTGCCCCTCCCCTGCTCATGCTCTGTCTCTCTCTGTTTCTTAATAATAAATAAATGTTAAAATTTTTTTAATTTAAAAAAATAAAACATTAGGGGCGCCTGGGTGGCTTAGTCGGTTAAGCGTCCGACTTTCGCTTGGGTCATGATCTCACGGTTCGTGGGTTCGAGCCCCGCGTCGGGATCTGTGCTGACTGCCAGCTCAGAGCCTGGAGCCTATTTCAGTCTGTGACTCCCTCTCTCTCTGACCCTCCCCTGCTCACGCTGTCTCTCTCTCTGCTAGAAATAAATAAAAATATTAAAAAAAATAAAATAAAAATAAAATAAAAAATAAAACATTAAAAAATACCATTTATATTAGCATTCCCCCAGTGAAATATTTAAGTATAAACCTAACAAAATATGTACAAGATCAATATGAGGAAAACTACAAAACTCTGATGAAAGAAATCAAAGAAGAACTAGCAAAATGGAGAGATATTTCATGTTCATGGATAAGAAGATTCAATATTGTCAAGATGTCTTCCAAACTTCATCTACAGATTCAGTACAGTCTCAGTCACAATGCCAGCAAGTACTTTTGTGGATATCAACAAAGTAATTCTAATGTCTAGAATAACCAACACAATGGGTTTTTTTTTAATATTTTATTTATTTCTGAGAGAGAGAGAGACACAGTGTGAGCTGGGGAGGGTCAGAGAGAGAGGGAGACACAGAATCTGAAACAGGCTCCAGGCTCTGAGCTGGCTGTCAGCACAGAGCCCGACACGGGGCTCAAACCCATGAACCGCGAGATCATGACCTGAGCCGAAGTCGGCCACTTAACCGACTGAGCCACCCAGGCGCCCCTCCAACACAATGTTGAAGGAGAACAAAGTTAGAAGACTGTCACTACTCAGCTTCAAGCTACGGTAATCAAAATGGTGTGGTATTGGCCAAAAAGCACATAGATCAATGGCACAGAATAGAGAGCCCAGAAACAGACCCACATAAAACTGATCTTTGACAAAAGAGAAGGTAGTTACATGGAGAAAGGACAGTCTTTTCAACAAATGATGTTAAAACAACTGGATGTCCATGAGAAAAATAAATAATCCAACTAATCTAAACATGAAATTTATGGTTTTCACAAAGGTTAATTCAAAATGGATCAAAGACCTAAATGTAAAAGGAAAAAAATATAAAACTCCTAGACAGTAATGTAGGAAAAAACCTAAATGACCATGGATATAGTGATAAGTTCTTAGATATAACACCAAAGACATTATCCATGATGGAAATAACTCATAAATTATACTTCATTAAAATTAAAAACTTCTGGTGAAAAGCAGTCAAGAAAGTGAGATGACACACAGATTGGGAGAAAAAATTTGCAACACACACATCTCCCATCCAACTACTAACCAGGCCCGACCCTGCTTAGTTTCTGAGATGAGATAAGATTGAGCGCATTCAGGGTGGTAGGGCCAGTAGAGGTAACACACATCTGATAAATGACTATTCTCTAAGATATACAAAGAACTCTTAAAATTCAGCAATAAGAGAACAAATGAGCTGATTTAAAAAATGGGCCATGGTGCACCAGGATGGCTTATTCATTTCAGCTTCCAACTCTCAATTTCAGCTCAGGTCTTGATCTCAGGGTGATGAGTTAAAGCCCCACATTGGGCTCCACATTGGTCATGAAGCCTACTTTAAGAAAGACTGGGCCAAAGACCTTATCAAAGAAGATCTATGAATGGCAAATAAACATTTGAAAAGATGCTCTACATGATATGTCATCAGGGAAATGCAAATTAAAACAGTAAGATACCACTATACCACTATATTAGAATAGCCAAAATGCAGAACACTTGACAACGCCAAATACTGATGACTATGTGGAGCAATGAAGGCTCTCATTTATTGCTATTAGAAATTAAAAATGATGCAGCCACTTTGAAAGACTGGCAGTTTCTTACAAAACTACCAGTTTTACCATATGATCCAGCAATCACACTCCTTGATATTTACCCAGAGGAGTTGAAAACTTAATGTCTGTACAAAAGCCTGCACATGGATGTTTAAAGGAGCTTTATTCATAATTGCTAAAAGCTGGAGGCAATTAAGATGTCTTTCAATATTTCAATACATGAATGAATAAAGAAACCTTGGTATATCCAGACAATAGAATATTATTCAGCACTACAAAGAAATTAACTATCAAGCCATAAAAAGACAAAGAGAAATTTTAAATACATATTACTGGGTAAAAGAAGTCAATCTGAAAATTTTATGTACTGTATGATTCCAATGATATGACATTCTGGAAAAGGCAAAATACGGAAATAGTAAAAATATCAGTGGTTACCAAGGGATGGATGAGGGATGAATTGGCAGAGTATGGAGGATTATTAGGGCAGTGAAAATACTCTTTATAATACCATACTGATGGATACATATCATTATACACTTGTCTAAGCCAATAGAATGTATAAGACCAAGAGTGAATTCTAATGTAAATTATGTACTTTGGGTATTTATGATGTGTCAATGCAGGTTCATCAACTGTAACAAATGTACTACTCTGGTGGGGAATGTTGATAATGGGAGAGGCTATCCATGTGTGAGGGCAAGAGGTATATGGAAAATCTCCATATCTGCCCCTCAATTCTTCTGTGAACCTTAAGCTGCTCTTAGGAAAAAAAATAGTCGGGGCAACTGAGTGGCTCAATCAGTCAAGCACCTGACTTCGGCTCAGGTCATGATCTCATGGTTTGTGATTTCAAGCCCGGCATCAGGCTCCATGCTGACAGCTCAGAGCCTGGAGCCTGCTTCAGATTCTGTGTCTCCCTTTCTCTCTGTCCCTCCCATGCTCATGTGCAGTCTCTGTCTCTCAATAATAAATAAAAGTGTTAAAAAAAATCTTAAAAAAAAAAAGAAAAAAAACAGTCTTGGGGAGCCTGGGTAGCTCAGTTGGTTGGGTGTCTGACTTCAGCTCAGGTCATGATCTCATGGGTTGTGAGTTCAAGCCTCGCATCGGGCTCTGTGCTAACAACTCAGAGACTGAAGCCTGCTTCGGATTCTGTGTCCCTCTCTCACTCTGCTCCTCCTGTGCTCATGCTCGGTCTGTCTCTCTCAAGAATAAATAAAACATTAAAAAAAAATTTTAAGTCTCAATTTTTTAATTTTTCAATGTTTTGTTTATTTCTGAGAGACAGGGAGAGAAAGCATGAGCAGGGGAGGGTCAGAGAAAGAGGGAGACACGGAATCAGAAGAGACAGGCTCCAGGCTCTGAGCTAGCTGTCAGCACAGAGCCAGACACAAGGCTCAATCGAACCCATGGACCGTGAGGTCATGATCTGAGCTGAAGTTGGACACTTAGCCGACTGGGCCACCCAGGTGCCTGTTAAAGTCTTAATTTAAAAAAGTACAGCTGCTGGAACGCCTGGGTGATGCAGTCGGTTAAGGGCCTGACTCTTGGTTTTGGCTCAAGTCATGATCTCATGGTTCATGAGTTCAAGCCCTGCATCGGACTCCACTCTGGCAGCATGGAGCCTGCCTGGAATTCTCTCTCTCCCTTTCTCTCTGCCCCTTCGCTGCTCTCTCTGTCTCTCAAAATAAATAACCCTAACCTTTTTAAAATACAGGTGCAAAAAAAAAATCATGAAGGATAGAGCTAATGGGTATGGGATCCAAAGCACAGGAAAAGGGTTAACCTTTGAACAGGAAGAAGGAGATTTTCCACTAAATCAGGAAGCAAGAGGGTAGACAGGTACCTATTTTACTAAGAACTTCAATATTACATAATTGTAATTGTAATTGTGGTGGCACAATGGTAGGAGTCACACTGTGATTTAAAAAGTTACTTGATAAATTATAGTTAAAACTGGTCAGTGCTCACTTTGGCAGCACGTATACTATAATTAGAATGATAGAGAGAATATTAGCATGGCCCCTGCATAAGGATGACAAATTTGTGAAGCATTCCATGTTTAAGAAAAGAAAGAAAAACTAGTTAAAATGGTAACTTTTTGTATTATATATAGCTTAACACAATAAAAAACTACAAAACCTACTTGATTACTACTCATTTTCCACATTCTAATAGCACTGACCATTACATTTCATGGCTAGCTCAAGTTCAGCTTTTACCTCATTAACTACTCTAGATCTCACATAAGAGAAGTCCTATTTAAAAGTTCTTGTGACCAGGACGCCTAGGTGGCTCAGCTGGCTAAGCAATGGACTCTTCCTTTTGGCTCAGGTTCATGACTTCAGGGTTTATGGAATAGAGCCCTTCCATGCTGACAGCATGGAACCTGCTTGGGATTCTCTCCCTCTCTTTCTGTCCCTCCCCACAACTCTCTTGCTTGCTCTCTTTCAAAATAAATAAATATTTAAACCTTCCTGTGGCCAAGGGAAGATGCAGGAGTAGGAGGATCTTGAGCTCACCTTGTCCCATAGACACATTAAGGCAGCCATTACATGCATTGCAAATTCATTCTGAAAATGACCTGAAGACCAGCAGAACAGATCTTCCATTGCTAGTCATACATAGAAGACCACATCAAAAAGGGTAGGAGGAATGGAGATGTGGTTGGAAACCAAACCCCCAGTAAAACTGACCATGAATATTAGAGACATCATCAGCACAGGGGAGCAAGGCAATTAATCAGATCCCACACCAGGTACCCCTGGATCTGGAGGCCTGCACTGGGGAAGACGGGTCTCCATACATCCTGCTTTGAAAATAAGTGGGGCTTAACTCTGGGAGAGCAAGAAGGAAATAGGAAAAGGAAAATGAATCCCTGTCCTCAAAGAGCAGCACACTAAATAACTTAGCCTGAAATTCAGAAGCAGTAGTTTGAAAAGTACCTGGGGTAGGGGCGCCTGGGTGGCTTAGTCGGTTAAGCGTCCGACTTTCGCTTAGGTCATGATCTCACGGTTCGTGGGTTCGAGCCCCGCGTCGGGCTCTGTGCTGACTGCCAGCTCAGAGCCTGGAGCCTGTTTCAGTCTGTGACTCCCTCTCTCTCTGACCCTCCCCTGTTCATACTGTCTCTCTCTCTCTCTCTCCTAGAAATAAATAAAACATTAAAGAAAAAGAATAAAAATGGGTAGTAGTGAGTATATTATTTGTTTTTAAGTGGATATTTTTAAATCACTTAAGGGTGCTCAACATTATTTTTATTATTTAAAAGTGGTTTGGCAACATGTAGTAGAAACCTCCATAAGAGTGTCTTAAACAAATTCGTTTTTTTCCCCTTCNCAGCTCAGAGCCTGGAGCCTGTTTCAGTCTGTGACTCCCTCTCTCTCTGACCCTCCCCTGCTCACGCTGTCTCTCTCTCTCTCTAGAAATAAATAAAAACCTTAAAAAAAAAACAAAAAGAAAAAAAAAAGAAAAATACCTGGGGTATACATGAAGGAAAATTATTCACCAATTTTAGGACATGTGCTGGAGGGGCAGGAATCTGCAGACTTCTCCGGGAATAAAAGTGTTGGTGGACACCATTTATCTTTGCCCATCCCTAGCCTACACACTCAGACACTTGTGGGAGCCAGTTCATACACTCTCCATCTACCTTGTTAGTGCCATATGTCTGGCTCTGGTATTCTTTGGTAAACCTGCCCCACTCAACACACACACCGCAGCAAGTGCCCCTGCAAAGTGGCTCCTGCCCCACACCACACTTGGCAAGCAGCCCCAGTTGGAACTGGCACCCCTCCAAAATGAATCTTGTCCTGGGGTGAAGAGAAAACAACCACATACAACAGCATGCCTGCAGTTCCTAAAGGTGGGCCTCTTAGCTGACTGCCAGCACCAGCACTACCCTTCCCTGCATCTGCAGCTATTGCAGCATCTAGTTGTAAACAACCAGGTTTAGGGCCAGACCCACCCACCAACAAGCCCATGAGGGCAGCAGCAGGGCCTCTCAACAGTGTAGGAAGCAAACCCTGCCCAGTACACCTGCAGTAGGTGAAACAGGTCATTGAAGACAGTTGGGATGAGGGCCAGCCTCACCCACCACCATGCCCATAGGAATCACAGCTCATCCACAACAGGAGGACACATATAGCTCATACAGGGAGCACTTGGTTCTGATGTACAGGGATGATTGTGCTACAGGGCACCATGAGGCCTCTTCTATACAAGGCCACTACTATCAACACCAGGAAAAAGACTAGAAGATGTAAGTGACCTACCCACAAAGAAATAAACACAGAGAAACAGAAAAGATGAAGAGACAGAAGAATGTGTCCCAAATAAAAGAACAAGCCAAAATCACAGAAAAAGAGGTAATCAAAATGGGCATAAGCAATATGCCGATAAAGAGTTCAAAGTAATGGTCATAAAAGTACTTGTTGGGGGTGCCTGGGTGGCTCAGTCAGTTAAGCGTCCAACTTCGGCTCAGGCCATGATCTCACAGTTCATGGGTTTGAGCCCCGCGTCAGGCTCTGTGCTGACAGCCAGCTCAGAGCTTGGAGCCTGCTTCGGATTCTGTGTCTCCCTCTCTAACTGACCCTCCCCTGCTCACGCTGTCTCTCTCTGTCTCTCTCTCAGAAATAAATAAAACATTAAAAAAAAAGTACTCACTGGACTTGAGAAGAAGATGGATGAACTCAGAAAGAACTTCAGAAAAGAGAAAAAAAATTATCGAAAAGAACCAGACAGAGCTGAAGAACACAATAACTGAATTGAAAAATACATTAAAGGCAATAAACAGCACACTTGGAGACACAGGAGAATGGTTCAGCAATCTGGAAGACAGGATAATAGAAAGAAACAAAGCTGAACAGCATAAAGATAAAAGAATAATAAGAAAAAGAGAAGAGCTTGGGGTACCTGGCTGGCTCAGTTGAAAGAGCATGCAACCCTTGATCTCAGGGTCATGAATTCAACCCACCCGTTGTTTTACTTAAAAATAATTTTTTTTTTTAAAAAAAAGAGAGAGCAACATAAGGGACCTCTATGATATCATCAACTGTAATAATATTTGCATTACACAGATCCCAGAAGGAGAAGAAAGAAGGGGGTAGAAAAAAATTATTTGAAGAAAAAATAGCTGAAAACTTTCTAATTTGGGGAAGGAAACCAACATCCAGGTCCAGAAAGCCAGAAAGCCCAAAACAAAATGAATCCAAGTAGGTCTACACAAAAACACATGATAATTAATATGGCAGAAATCAATAACAGAGAATTTTATTTTTTTAATTTTTTTAATGTTTTATTTATTTCTGAGAGAGAGACAGTGTGAGCAGGGGAGGGTCAGAGAGAGAGAGATACAGAATCTGAAACAGGCTCCAGGCTCTGAGCTAGCTGTCAGCACAGAGCCCGACGTGGGGCTCGAACCCACGAACCGCAAGATCATGAACTGAGCTGAAGTCAGATGCTTAACTGACTGAGCCACTCAGGCGCCCCAATAATAGAGAATTTTAAAAGCAGCAAGAGGAAACAGTTACATACTAGGGAAACCCAGTAAGGTCACCAGCTGCTTTTTTCAGCAGAAACTTTGCAGACCAGTAGGGAGAGTGCCATGATATAGTCAAACTGTTGAAAGAAAAAACTAGCAACCAAAAATACTCTACTGGGTAGGGTTATCAATAGAATTGAAGAGCAGACAAAGAGTTTCTAAGACAGGGGCACCTGGGTGGCTCAGTCGGTTAAGCATCTGACTTTGGCTTACGTCATGATCTCACAATTCGTGAGTTCGAGTCCCACATCAGGCTCTGTGCTGGCAGCTCAGAGCCTGGAGCCTGCTTTTGATTCTGTGTCTCCCTCTCTCTCTCTGCCCCAAACCCACTCACACTCTGTCTCTGTCTCTATAAAAAATAAACATTAAAAAAGAGTTTCCAAGACAAAAAAAAAAAGTTAACGAGTTTCATCAACACTAAACCAAACTTAGAGTTAATGATAAGGGCATTCTTTATTTTTTAAAAGTTTGTTTGAGAGAGAGAGAGCAGGGGAGGTGCAGAGAGAGAGGAACAGAAAAAGAATCCCAAGCAGGCTGTGCAGAGCCCAGTACAGGGTTCAAACTCACAAACAGTGAGATCATGAAGGGGCATTCTTTAAGTGGAGAAAGGCCAAAACTAGAAGAAAATTATGAAATGAGGACATTTCAAATGTGAAAGCAAAAATGCAGTAGAGGCAGTAGATTAATCACTTATAAAGCCAGCATGGAAGTTAAAACACAAAAGAAGTAAAATCAACTATATCTACAAAAATTAGTCAAGGGATACACAAAATCTTAAAAAAAAAAAAAAAAGATAACACAGGATGCCATAATCCAACCACAAGGAAAGAGAAGAAGGAAAAGAACAAAGAAGAACTACAAAAACAACCAGAAAAAAATAACAAAATGGCACTACGTACATACCTATCAGTAATTACTCTAGCTGAACTAAACGCTCTAATCAAAAAACATATCATGGGACACTTGGGTGGCTCAGTCAGTTAAGCATCTGACTCTTTAAAAAATGTTTTTCTTTAATGTTTATTCATTTTTGAGAGAGAAACAGAGCGTGAGCAGGGGAGGGGACATAGAATCTGAAGCAGGCTCCAGGCTCTGAGCTGTCAGCACAGAGCCCAAAGCAGGGCTCAAACCCTTGAACCAACCCTCAAACCTGATCATGACATGAGCCTAAGTCAGACGCTTAACTCACTGAGCCACCCAGGTGCCCCAAGTGTCTGACTGTTGATTTTGGCTGAGGTCAGGATCTCAGGATTGTGATATCGAGCTCTGCGTTTGGGCTCTGTGCTGGGAGGGGAGTCTGTTTAAGATTCTCTCTCTCCCTCTCCCTCTCCCCCTTCCCCATTTGTATGTGCTCTCTTGTGCTCTCTCTCCTTCTCAAAAAAAAATATGGTGACTGAATGGATAAAAAAACAAGAACAACCTATGTGCTGCCTACAAGAGGCTCATTTCAGACCTAAAGAAAGACACATACTGAAAGTGAAGGAATGGAAAATGTATTCCATGAAAATGGAGGCAGGAAAAATAGCC